GAGGGCGGCTGCGGCGCCTGCACTGTTGTTATCTCACAGTACAACCCTACAACAAAATCCATCTATCATGCGAGCGTCAACGCCTGTTTGGCACCACTCGCCAGCTTGGACGGCAAGCATGTCATCACAATCGAGGGTATCGGCAATACGGAGGCTCCACACCCTGCTCAGGAGCGTGTGGCTAGGAGCAACGGAAGCCAGTGTGGCTTCTGCACACCCGGCATCGTCATGAGCCTATACGCCTTGTTGCGGAACAACCAGTCACCGTCCGACGACGACATCGAGGAAGCCTTTGACGGTAATCTGTGTAGGTGTACCGGCTACCGGCCGATTCTCGATGCGGCACAGACATTCAGCAGCTCCAATGCTTGCGGCAAAGCCACTGCCAAGGGCGGCTCGGGATGTTGTATGGAGAAGGGCGACGGCGAGAAGAGCGGCGGCTGCTGCATGGACAAGGCTGCACTTGATGACCAGCCCATCAAGCGATTTACGCCTCCTGGTTTCATCGAGTACAACCCGGACACCGAGCTCATCTTTCCACCGGCGCTCAAAAAACACGAAATGCGACCTTTGGCATTCGGCAACAAGCGGAAGACTTGGTACCGTCCCGTGACTCTCCAGCAGCTGTTGGAGATCAAGAGTGTGTATCCCTCAGCCAAAATCATCGGCGGCAGCACCGAAACACAGATTGAGATCAAGTTCAAGGCGTTGCAGTATCCCGTATCGGTATTTGTCGGAGATATCCCAGAACTGCGACAGTACGAGTTTAAAGATGACCACCTCGAGATTGGAGGCAACGTCATTCTTACCGACCTCGAAAACATGTGCAAGGAGGCCATCACACATTACGGGCATGACAAGGCACAAGTTTTTGAGGCTATGCACAAGCAGCTGAAGTACTTTGCTGGACGCCAGATTCGCAACGTCGGTACCCCTGCTGGCAACTTAGTTACTGCGTCTCCCATCTCTGATCTGAACCCCGTCTTCTGGGCCGCCAACGCTGTCCTGGTGGCCAAATCGCACACGAAGGAGACTGAGATTCCCATGTCCGAATTCTTCACTGGGTACCGCCGTACTGCTCTGCCGCAGGACGCCATCATCGCGTCCATCCGGATCCCAGTAACGCAGCGTAAGGGGGAGTTCTTCCGTGCTTACAAGCAAGCCAAGCGCAAGGATGACGATATTGCCATTGTCACAGGTGCTCTCAGGATCAAACTCGATGATAGTGGTGTCGTTACTGACTGCAATATCATCTATGGTGGCATGGCTGCTATGACGGTAGCCGCCAAAAATGCCATGGCCTACCTTGTCGGCAAGCGGCTGGCCGAGCTTGAGACACTCGAGGGCACGATGAGTGCGCTGGGTACCGATTTTGACCTGCAGTTCAGTGTCCCCGGCGGCATGGCCTCATATCGCAAAGCCCTCGCTTTCAGCTTCTTCTACCGATTCTATCACGACGTCGTTACCAACATTGATGGCCAAAACAAGCACGTCGACAAGGAGGCCATCGACGAGATTGAGCGCAGCCTGTCGACGGGCTTCGAAGACAAAGACACGGCGGCCGCTTACGAACAGGAGACTGTTGGCAAGTCGAAGAACCATGTGGCAGCACTGAAACAAGTCACAGGAGAAGCTCAATACACTGACGACACCCCCGCACTCAAGAACGAGCTCCACGGATGTTTCGTGCTTTCCACAAAGGCACACGCCAAGATCAAGTCGGTCGATTACTCCGCTGCGCTTGATATTCCAGGCGTTGTTGATTACATTGACAAGAACGACATTCCCACCCCAGAACTCAATCGCTGGGGTGCGCCCAACTTTGATGAGGTATTCTTCGCCGAGGACATGGTTTACACGGCTGGACAACCGATCGCTATGATACTTGCAACAACTGCCCTCCGTGCGGCCGAGGCCGCTCGCGCTGTGAAGGTTGAGTACGAAGAACTGCCGCCCATCCTCACAATCGAGGAGGCCATCGAGCAAGAGAGCTTCCACAAGTACTTCCGCGAGATCAAGAATGGAAACGCGGAAGAGGCATTCAAGAATTGCGACCACGTCTTCACTGGTACCGCGAGAATGGGTGGCCAAGAGCACTTCTACCTAGAGACGCAGGCGGCGCTTGTAGTGCCTAAACTGGAAGACGGGGAGATGGAGATCTTCGCAAGCACGCAAAATCCCAACGAGACGCAAGTCTTTGCGGCGCGCATGTGCGGCGTTCAGGCAAACAAGATCAACGTTCGGGTTAAGCGACTCGGCGGTGGTTTCGGTGGCAAGGAAACACGATCTATCCAGCTCAGCACACCACTCGCCCTGGCGGCGAAGAAGACGAAGCGGCCTGTACGATGCATGCTCACGCGCGAGGAGGACATGGTCACGTCAGGTCAGAGACATCCCTTCCTGGGTCGGTGGAAGGTCGGCGTGAATAAGGACGGCAAGATCCAGGCCTTGGACCTTGACGTTTTCAACAACGCAGGCTGGACATTTGACCTCAGCGCTGCCGTCTGCGAGCGAGCCATGAGCCACTCCGACGGCTGCTACAAGATCCCCAATGTGCATATCCGAGGCCGTCTGTGCAAGACCAACACCATGTCCAACACGGCCTTCCGTGGTTTCGGTGGACCCCAAGGCATGTTCATCGCCGAGACGTACATGGAGGAGGTGGCCGATCGCCTGGGCATCCCAGCAGAGAGGTTCCGCGAGATCAACTTCTATAAGCCGCTCGAGACGACACACTTCAACCAAGCTCTCACTGACTGGCACGTGCCGCTGATGTACGAGCAGGTGCAGCAAGAGTCTCACTACGAACTACGGCGAGCCATGATTACAGAATTCAACGCGAGCAACAAGTGGCGCAAGCGAGGCCTTGCGCTCATCCCTACGAAATTCGGCATCTCGTTCACTGCGCTCTTCCTCAACCAAGCAGGCGCCTTAGTTCATATTTACCATGACGGCTCGGTTTTGGTGGCCCATGGCGGCACAGAGATGGGTCAGGGTCTGCACACCAAGATGACGCAGATCGCAGCCCAGGCTCTGCAAGTGCCGCTCGATAACGTTTTCATCTCGGAGACAGCCACCAACACGGTCGCCAATGCTTCCTCAACCGCGGCGTCTGCCTCGTCTGATCTCAACGGCTACGCCATCCACAACGCTTGTCAGCAGCTCAACGAGCGCCTGGCCCCTTACCGAGAGAAGCTCGGTGCAAAGGCGACAATGAAAGACCTTGCACATGCGGCATACTTTGACAGAGTCAACCTTTCGGCGCAAGGGTTCTACAAGACACCAGAGATCGGTTACACCTGGGGCGAGAATCGCGGCAAGATGTTTTTCTACTTCACCCAGGGCGTGGCGGCGGCCGAGGTCGAGATCGACACGCTGACGGGCACCTCGACGTGCATTCGGGCGGACATCAAGATGGACGTGGGCCAGTCGATCAACCCAGCCATCGACTATGGCCAGATCCAGGGCGCTTTCGTGCAGGGCATGGGCCTGTTTACGATGGAGGAGTCACTGTGGCTGCGCAACGGACCCATGGCGGGCAACCTCTTCACGAGGGGTCCTGGCGCATACAAGATCCCAGGCTTCCGCGACATTCCCCAAACATTCAACGTGAGCCTGCTCAAAGACGTCGAGTGGAAGGAACTGCGCACGATTCAGAGGAGCCGAGGCGTCGGCGAGCCCCCGCTGTTCATGGGCAGCGCCGTCTTCTTCGCCATCCGGGACGGACTACGGGCGGCGAGGCGGCAGTACGGCGTCGAGGCAACGATGGGCCAGGATGCGAGCGACGACGGGCTTCTCAGGCTAGAGAGTCCGGCGACGCCCGAAAGGATCCGGTTGAGCTGCGAGGACCCGATCATGCGGGCGGCGCGCGTGCTCCCGAAGGAGGGGGAGAAGAGCTTCTTCGTGGCGATCTAAGGTGAGGAACGAAGCGGGTGATGAAGAAGAGGGGTAGCATGGGGCATGACAAGACGTAATGACGAGTGCCAATGAAATATGAAGAACAGAGCAAACAGTGACCGATTGATCCTGCATGCCGCCCTCCTTTTCTCCGTAAAGCTTCCTCGGCGATGCCCTCACGATGAGCGATCGGGACTGGTCGGCTCGAGGGAAGAAGGACGAAAACATTCCGGGCTGATAAAAATGGTAAGGCTCCTGCCCATTGGAGGGTAGCATCAACCCCGGGGCAATCCTTCCCTTCGCCAGCCCTCACCTCACTGTTGGGTTGGGGGAGTTGGAGCGGGGGAGATCGATGGAAGGAGGGGAGGAAGGAAGGGGCAATCCGCATGTACGCACGTTTGTACAGTAAGGTACAGAGGTAAGGTACGCCTTCAAAGGTGTGCTGGCCAGGAGTGGGCCCCGAGTGCTCCACTTGCAAACTACCCCTCGGTTCTGGCAGCGCCAGTGTGCCCTGGCTTGCCTGGGAAGAGTGCGCTGGCGCTCCAGCTGGCTCCCGCAAAGCCCCGCAGCCTACCCCGATACCTCTAGGTTCTTTTTTTACTCTGGCGGCACTCCCACTGGCTGGAGCTGACCTCTAGGCGGGCCTCTCGATTGGCATTGGATTGCATTGCATTGGACTGGCCCTGCCTGGCGAGCTGCTGCGTGCGTGCGTGCGACTCCCTCCATCCTCATGTCACCTGGATCGCCCGCCCCCAGCCCAGGAAGCTTCGACTCCAAAAAGGCCCTCGGCCCCTCGACACACGCGACCTGTCAATCCCTCACGCGAGACTGTTGAGCGTAGCCTTGGAAAGGCGCTGACGGCCAGCGCGACTCCTGCAACGACCAACGCACCGTCTCGAACAGCGTCTCCGACTCTTCCTCCGTCGGGGGGAAACTTGCTACCCCAAACTTGGTCGTATCTAGCCCCCGTGTTGCGCTGCTGCTCTCGTCCTGCACCAAGCCGCCGCCCCCATCTGCGAACGACGTAGCCCTCGTCTTCTCTGCGTAACCTCTCGACCCAATGGGATCGGTCCTCAATGGGCGAGTCGAACGCCTCTGCCACCATGGACAAGACGTCCAAGGATTCGCAGTCAAAGCCTGACCAGGCAGACCAGAAGCGCGAAAAGCAGAATGCGCCCAACGACACCCACAAGAGTCCCAAGAAGCGCCGCAAGGTGAATCATGGTATGCCCCTCTGCCGCTTGCCCGCCCTCCTCTCTGTCCCCCTTTTGGGTTGGGACATACCCCCTCTCTCCTTCGTTCGCGCATGCTCGGACTTCCGACGTGTCGTTGTCGTCTTCGTACCTGGGGCTGATGATTGGCGGCATGGTCCGCCCATGTCTTTTGCAGCTTGCGTCTATTGTCGACGATCTGTAAGTCATCTTCCTGATGCACACGACCTGCGTCTGCGAACCAGCCTACGCAGCTTCCGAACTGGCCATGCCGTGGGACTGGTGCTCATGCCCATCTCTTTCCCCGGTCGCGACGCCCTCGCCCGCCCATCCACCGTCCTGCATCGCCCCCCTCGCATGAACTGATCGCTCGCATACCTGCGACGACTTAGTTGCTACTGAACCACAGCTGACAGATAGTGTCTTTTCTTTCGTTCAGCACATGACGTGCGATCTCGTACGGCCTCCCTCTCCCAGCCCCTCCTCCCCGACGCGACGATACCTTACTGACTGACGCGTGGGCAATTGGCATAGGAACGACCGTGTACACGATGTATTAAGCGCAATATCGGTCACCTCTGTCACGACGAACCGCGCGATCCCGACACGAAAAAGCCCAACAAGGCCCTTCACGGCGCGTCTACCGTCGATGACGCGGAGACGCAGTCGCAATGCCAGTCTCAACCCGACCTGGCGCGCAGCTCGATCGACCAATCCCCAGGGGCCATGGGGCCTCCGCCATCCGTCGAGACTCGTCTCGATACTAATGGCAGGCAGGGTTCGGGCTCAGGCGCCAGGCCCGGCGCCTTTGGGAGCGCTGTTCTAGGCCAGGGGAACCCACTGCAGCTCGTGTCACCCTCGCCCGTCTCTGGCTTGCAAGGTAACGGCATGGCCAGCGGCGGTAATATGAACCAATGTAAGCGTCGCGTTACCCTACCCCTTGTCTGCATCGTGCCTGGAGCCAGATTGGGCTGCCTCCGGGGGGCTCAGGCCCCGAGTCTCGGGATTGTGATCGCTTTCTCCTTCTTGTACCGTGACTGGGACTGATGCGTCGTGCGTGCCTCGTTTAATAGTTGCTGGATTCTCCGATGCCTGGTTGACGGCACAAAACCACTACCAAGACATGCAGAACTACCACCAGAACTACATGATCGCCCCCGAGGTCTCCAACGAGTTCAACCTGCTGCATGACTTTCTCCAGACTAGCTTATTAGATGACGGCAACATACTCGGCGACGAACCCCAGAGCAGCCCCGCGTTCAACCGGTCAAGCCAGGGGCAGAACGACATGTTGCCAGGCTTCCCGAATGCTGGTAACAGCGTATTGCAACAGCAACAGAGGCAGCAACAACAGTTGCAGCAGCAGCAGCAGCAGCAGCAGCAGCATGCGCGAGAGCAGCAGCAGCAGCAGCAGCAGCAGCAACACCAACAACATCAACTACAGACACAGTCGCAGCAGCAGCAGCAGGGGTCCATGTTGCCCCCGCCCAATGTTGACCAAGGCAAGACCGTTGCGCGACCTAGCACTGCTATACAGGCCGACAAGGACAAGGCTCGGGAATACTACCTGCAAGCGGCAGATCCGTCGGGCAACGATACACCCGAGGAACGCATGCAGCGCGTGCTCAAGGCCAAGTACGACGCTGGACTGTTAAAGCCATTTGTCTACGTCAAAGGGTATCTTCGCCTCGGCAAATATCTTGATTCCCATATTGCCTCGGGGTCGAAACAGAAGATTCTTCGCACAATCGACCGTTTCAGGCCCAAGTTTAGAGAAAAGGCCCAAACCTTGACAGACATGGAGCTCGTCTATGTCGAGATGTGGTTCGAAAAACAGTTGATGGAGTACGACCGCGTGTTTGCCAGCATGGCAGTTCCGGCGTGCTGCTGGAGGCGAACAGGCGAAATCTTCCGTGGCAACGCGGAGATGGCTGAGTTGATCCACGTGCCCGTCGAGAATCTCCGCGACGTAAGTGCAGCGATTCGCCTACTCTTGGGGTTCATACTGACAAGGTACAGGGTAAAATTTCTTTGCACGAGATCCTGACGGAAGAATCGTTGGTCAGATACTGGGAGGAGTTTGGCACCATCGCCTTCGACCCAGCTCACGATACACTTCTCACTGCGTGTACGCTGAAGAGTCCTGATGACGAGGCGACCCACCCTGTTGTGCGATGCTGCTTCTCATTCATGATCCGCAGAGACGATCACAAATTGTGCGTTTAAACCCCCATGATGAATTGCCTGCCCATCACCTTTCCTCTAACATGTGTGTTGACAGGCCGACGCTGATCGTGGGCAACTTCCTACCAAACGACCCTATAGAATCGTGACGATGGGGACCATATACTTTTGCGTGCTATGGCTTTCGGCGTTGTGGGCGGGTCAAAACCAAAACAGGCAGGCCATTGAAGGCGTCCAGGGCAGGAGGTCGGCATGGATATCAGGGCATCATTGCTGTTGCATCTCGGCATTTCACCCGAGTAGTCAACTTTGGGCTGTTGATGGGATTTCTTTCTGTAGCAGGCGTTTCTAGTACCAAGACTCAATCGATTCTGCCAAGCCTAGTGATCTGGGGGAAATTCCTTGTCACATTTTTGAGGTTTTATTTGACCTCGTATTGGCAAATAATATTTGCGCCTTGGGATGGTAAGTGTCTGGCTCACGTCCAAGGCAGGCTCGACCGAATACGCCTGCCTCTCTTATCAACACCAGCCTATCAACAATTTTGTAGCACTTCCAACGCTTCGAGCCTCCTTTCATCGTCCCTTTTTTCTTTTTTCTTTTGCCTCTACGGAAAAGTCAGACACCAAAAGCTCCTTGGCGGTCTTCCACGCTGTCATTTCAGGCCAAAGGACCTCGCCACAGGTACCAAACATCAACCACGATGGGCGGCCACGGAACCGGAGGCAGTGACCAGGAGAAGGTCAAGGCACTGTTGGGTGTGTCTTGTCCAATTCATTGCCGGTCATCCAACTGCTGACAACAAGTATAAGAGCTTGCCAAGTCACTCCAGGAACACATGCCCTCCTTGATCGATGCTCCGTCCATCAATACCCTGTTGCAGAGGCTCTCGGAAGCGATCCAGACTGCCAGTTGCGTTGTGCCAAAATCGGCGCTGAAGAAACGCTCAGGGGTGGAGCTCGTGAGCCGCGCGAGAGAGCTGTTCAACCTCTGTATCGCCACTCAACGCAGTCAATCTACAGATATGCTCCCAATCCGAGCGAAGCTACTGCTGCAAAGCCGTCTTTTGGCATTTCTGATGACGCATCTGGCTCTCTGGACCGGGGAAGAAGGATTAGACATCGAGATGGGGGATGTCGAGTTGCTCTTCTCCATGGCACTCAAGGTCGCGAGACTCTTCGTTGGTAAGGGCGTGCGGATTCTTCCAAGGCTTTTGTCTGACTAACCCCGGCTTCAGATGACGAAGACTATGTCAGCGCAGTCATAGTTCTGCAGAAGGCAGCAGAATATACTTTGCTTTTTCCCAGGCTGCGTCCAAGCCTCAATCCTGAAGAGCTCGGATTGACTCACCGACTGGAAGCAGAATATCTGATTCTCCGTACAGCTCTTGTATGTCCCTGTTGAAGGCCCTCATTCGGAGGCATGGCTGGGCTGATATTAGAATCGCAGGCCCTGAAGGAGTCTCGCATCGACGTTGCCGAGCACATGTATGCCAAGGTTGAGCAGCTGCGAGCGTCTCTAGATCCGACGTCAGCTGAAAACCTAGCTGAAGTTCTGTTTGACACTGGTAAACGCTATTTGACCGACAATCAGTTCTCCATGGCAACCAGATGGCTCGGTCGAGCGTATGAAGCTATCAACACTCCGGCTCTGGACAGGTTATCCCGGCGAGCCGCCGAATTACGCCTCATTATCGGGGGTGCTTTTGTCAACGCCCTTCTCAGCACGGAAGAGCCCCAAGATTTCGAGACTGCATCCAATATTGTCCAAAGCATATCCTCGGAGGTTGGCGAAACTCCCGTCGTGTTAGTCCTACGCCTTGAGGTTCTTCAACGATCGAGACCGGGTGTGTTTGACAAGGAGGCTTACGCCACTTGCATCCTTGGTCTAGTGCGGAGCTTCAACCACTCCGAGCCGTACTACAGATTGATCGAGAAGCACATATGGCAATTGTTTCAGTTAGATCAAGAGTTGGGATGTGACATCGCCGATGAGTGGCTCAAAACTCGAATCGCAAATTGTGAGCGGGATGCCTGGATCGAACGGGCCTTCTTGCGACGACTTTCCATGTCTGTTCGTCAGATATCTACGCCCACAGCATTGGACTCTGTCACGAACGTCTTAGTTGATGTTTGTGTCCTTCGGGGCCAACCACTGGAAGCCTCGACCGCCGCGGCTGCACATATCGTAAGTCCGAGCTAGTCAGCAACACAATTGTGCCAGCTAATTGCCCCTGAGATCATCTGGCAGAAGATCGAAACCGTGCTGGAGTCTGATCATGCAGAGGCCAGGAAGTAGGCATCACTGGCGTTGAATCAGGTCGTCTTCGTCAAGGCTGGTCCGATCAATTTTGGCAAATTTTACAGGTAGGGCCCCTGATTCCAGCGCTTCACCAATTTCCTGACGGTTGACGTCGAAGATCACGACTCCGTAGCGCGATTGAGAATAACGCTCCGAAAGAAGTGCTGCTCGACGTCATAGGTCATTACATCGCCGAGCCTCCTGGTGAGCCGCTGGCAAATTATCTCATTTTTAAAGCTGGGCTGCGATATCAAGTTCATGGTTATGTCAAGCAAGGCCTTGAGGGTCTCGCCAAGGCAGGTACGAAGGACCCGACGTTCTTATACGCTTGCATTCTTGATGCACAGAAACATGGTGATGATTTATGTACGTATCGAGCAATCAGTGCATTGGTTGACAACTGCACATCCACGCAGTTGCACCGCCCAGCACTCTTGAGATCTGCCATTCGATGTTTGCAAGGCGCCATGGGCGATGATGCGACCGCTACTTCGGGTCCCACGCCGATGGTGGAGAGACAGCTGGTCGAAGAGCTCTGTCAGGCATTTGAACACGGTACATTCCATGTGTGACCACGCATTATAAAGTGCTTCCCGCTGACGAGAGCATAGCTGTGGAGGACATCAAGCGCGCTCCAAAGGACTCTCAGGGTGGCCTGCTCTATACCGTCAAAGAGCTCCACTGGTTCTGCAAGAACTCGTACAACCTCGGGATCAGCCGCTTGGGTTCGTGGGATCTCGACCACATCATACGAATGATGCAAGTTGGGCTCGCAGTGCGCGAGTACTATCCATCCGACATCCCGACTCAAGAGGCCGATGACGTTCGCCTCAGGTCTACACTTAGCCACTTTGTCGTCGCTTCAGCAATGGTTTCGGTAGCCCGCACTCAAGATGATGTCGAGCGACAATCGCAAGTGTATAGCTCACTCAGGCAACATGTGGTTGAATTCGATACTCAGATTCAGGAACACGTGTGTCTCAACGAGATGGATAAGCTCACGTCAAAAGACCTATATCAGAAGTTTGCCAGCTTGCTGGTCTTTGATCTCGAGGCAGCAGTTCATCTTGAGCTATTTGATGAGCTGAGCGAAATCGTGCACAAAGCTAAGCAATGCGCCTCTGTCGAGACCTTCAAGTCCATGGCGGATTGTCTTCTCAGGGGGCACCTCCCCCCGCGAGGTATGCGGGCTGTGACCGAAACCGATGCGGGATTATTGTGCTGATTCTGGCAGACCTCTATTCGGCGCTGAGACAGATCATCAACGAGATCTGGAATCTTGAACGGTTCGACCCGGCGACGCTGGCCAAATACATACGATGTCTGTTCCAGGCCGTGCTCCCACTTGAGAGCGAACTGGGCAGACAGATTTTGCAAGAGGCGATCAGCAAAGCTAGAGCCTCGGCAGAGGTAAGCCTCTGGTTTGCTGAGCAAAGGGTATCAATGTGACTAACGGTCTATGACAAAGAGCGGCTTCTCCTTCCCGCCCGAGGAGGTCCAGTGGCTGGTGACGGTTGCTTGGAACCACGCTGTTGACTACTGGAGGCTCAGGAATGACAAAGAATGCAAGTTATGGGCTCAGCTTGTCTTGGAGCTAGCGCAATTTGCTGCGGATGGCGGCCTCCTAAGTCAACAGATTCAGGAGCACTGCGCAAAGCTTGAGCTCGACGCTGCGTGAGGAACTTGTGGCGGGCTGCGTCAGAATAGAAAAATAATTGTCTTCCTATGTGTACTCGGAACGATGCTCTACCTTCTTACGAAAGCTCGATATTGCCCTTCACCTCACATTGTGGCACCCGCAGGCGCCCCATCGACCGATAAGGCCGCCCCTTCAAAATCGTCGCCAGGCTTGACCAGCGACACCGACACGTAGGGATCACGGGCGTAAACGCGAAGCCCGATAACGCAAACGGCATTCCACGGCGTTTCGGCGTCATCGCTGCTGTCATGGCTAGAATCCGAGTCCGTGTCCGATTCGGTGTCAGACTCGGACGATGACTCGGAATCAGAATCTTCAGAATCGATTTTCTCAGTCTCCGTTGCCGCCTCTGTTTCAGCAGGTTGAATAGTTGCCGTGGTTTCTTGCTCTTTTCCACCCGACTGACTCGCAGGGCTCTGGCACGGGGGCGTCAGCAGAGTGGTTGTAACCGCAGCAGTCGCGGGGGGTGTCGTTTCGTCGTCGGCGGGTTTCGCAATATCGTCGATAGGTTTCGCAATATCGTCGGTAGGTTTCGCATGCTCGTCAACATTGTGTTTCGATTCCTGCTCAATGGCTGTTGAGTCCGCCGTGGACGTGGGATCGTCAACGGTATCGTCATTAATGCCCTTGGCGGCTTGAGAGGAATCTATATCCTTCTTGTCTTGCTCTCCATTTGTGTCGGTGGAGGTGTTCGTGTTCGTTGCGCGACATTGGGCCCCATTCACGCCATCTCCAGAATCATTGCCGTTAACTGCTTCGTCAATAGCCTCTTTAGCCTTTCTCATAGCCCTCTTTGCCCTTTTTAAAGCGCGCTGCTTCTGTTTCTCGGTCTTCGCCTTTTGTTTCTTGTCTGCCATCCTTTTCTTCTTCTCGGCTTTCTTCCGCTTGAGCTCGGTCTTCTTGCTCTCTAGCACGCCGTCTTCGTCCGGTACGCCTCCCTTGGCATGGGCAAGGTCATATTGCATGCCCACCTGGCGCAGCTTTTGCGGGTTCACGTCGGCGTACTTCTTGACAAGGTCTCCAACGCTCAACGCGTCCTTCTCGCGCGTAGCTGTGATTATCGGGAGGACCTCGTATCGACCCGCCTCTAGTTCAACCTCACAGCTGACACTCCGATTCTCCATCTCGTGAGCGGGTCGCACGCGGCAGATCTGATCGCCCTGCCCTCCCTTGCCAGCCCCTGCTTTCTGCAACGTGAAGTGTAGCTCATAACTGTATCCGCCAGCGAAGCCCTCGAAGTACCTATCGTCAAGCTGTGCGAGGACCAGCACCACGAGTCCAGCTTCTTTGACCTCGAGTACGAATTTTGATTGCAGATAGCCCGTGACCCATGCGACGTGCGCGGCTGTCCATCGCTGCACGACGGTCCACCGCTCGTCAAAGAGCCGTGTACGATGTATATGGCTAAACGTCTGAAGCATGTCGTCAAATGACATCCAGAATATACCATCGTCACCAAATTCGTGGCCAAGCTTTGCGAGCCAATACGGTGTCCACTCCTTGGAGCCGTCAGACCAGGCGCCAGCCCATTCGCCGAGGCCCCTCTCGGTGCGCTGGCCCCAAGGATTTCGAATTTTGACAAGACGAACGCGCCGGCCCTCCTCGTCCGATTCCTCTCTCGACTGCAAGATGGAGTAGGCATGACTCATGGCGATGCCGTTTCGCTCTGAGTAGCAGCTTGAGCCCATTGCAGCTAGCGAGAACACGAAGCCTCCGTCAGTGCTCGCGAGTTCCCTCCAAAGCTTGTCGCGGCGCAATACGCGGTTCGACATGACTGTCGTGGTAACGCCGCCAGTCATGTCTTCGACAGCTTCGCCAGGCCAGCCCCCCGTCAGAGACTCATAGTCACCATGGCACTTGGCAAACGCCTTTTCGAGCAACGGAAGCCACGTCTCGTTGGGGTCGTCACATCTGGCAAAGTACAGTGCCTCGCTACCAGTTTGATAGCGTTTGCGCCATGTTCTTGACCTATGGCCCGTATGATCATAGACATTGGCGTGGTAGTCGGAAAAGTCCTTCATTTTGAGATAAAGGTTGTCGTCGATGACCGTTGAGACCCACTCGCCGTCTCGTTGAAAGACGAAACCGTAGACGCCGCACTCCTCGTCGCGAGCGACACAGACGCGGTCCATCAGGTCACGGCGGTGGGCTATGGTGGCAATGGCAGCAAGCCACCAGCAGTCACCAGCGCTGCCCTGCTTGATATCAGACGAGGAGAACCCGTTAATGGTAAACTGAGGGTTCTCAAAGATCCAGTCAACACGGTGAATCGAGCCAAAGCTATACTCAACGCCGGCGCCAGGACGACAGTTTTGCAAGCCAGGTTTCGCATCACAGAACTCCCGACTGGTGGTCGTCGCCATCCCTGGAGCAGCCCTGGGATCGTCCTCGATGTACTGATCATTGGCCACGACTTGAGCATCGTCGCGGATGAGGCGATTGAGGCAATTATTGCTGGGATCGCGTTCAATGTCGAAATCGGGATCGGTGAACTTCTCATTGGTGCGTTCACACTCGCGGACGATGCGGCGAACGCGGGCACGGCACTCACACGCGGCTGCCTCGTACGACTCCTGGGCGTTGCGGGAGGTGGAGTGCTCATTGGTGCGCCATTTGGGATGGTTGGCATCCAAGGATGGCAGAAGGTTTGCGTACAGGGCACGGGGAAAGATGGAGGTGACTTTTCCGGGAGACCTGGAGTGGAAGCTGGACCAAAAAGCTGACAGCTGTTCCTGAGGCGACTTCTTTTTGGGCATTGCAACGGTTGTCCTTCGTCAATGTAGGCGGTCTAGAGCAGCGACAGACAGCTGGATATGGCATGGGCAAAGGTGAAAAGAGAAGACGACTGAAAGCTGAAGAAGAGGAGGAGAGAAAACGAGGACCAAGGACGTCAGCAGTTTTATCGTCAGCTGTTGTGATCTAGGCCGCAAGGCTGAGGGCAGCCGAAACGGCTCGGCCTAGGATCATGGACGTGGCCGGCCATTTGTTCTGTCGTACCCCTTGTTTCGTGGAGGCGGTCGACGCACAAGTGAGTGAGAAAGGGACTGAAACGCAGCTGAAGGATCTTTGGTGCATGCAGCGTACGCAATCCTTGTCGACAACAGGCGGTTACAGCGGTTTGGCCCCCACGGGACATCAGGCCGGCGGTTGCTGCGAGTCCAGTGAAGGGAGATGGTTTGTGACAGCCTGGTACTGAGGTACAAGTAGACAGAAGAAGGTGCTTGTGTCATTGACCAGAGTGGTCAGCCGGTGCACATGTTCTCTCAACGCGTGCCATTGTGATGTGTCGAACAGCTGTGGAAGAGCTATGGGCGTCGCGATCGTCGTCGCTTTTTGGGTGGAGACAGTCGACGCGACCGTCAGACGTAGGCATTGGCAGGTGAGACCAGCAAAGACTTGTCATTAGCAGGTGCTGCCGAGTCCCCTGCCGTCGTACATCGTGCGAGTGGCAGGGACCCCTTCCCTTTCAGTCGTTCCCCTCTTCCCTCCCTGCCAGTCATTACAAGGGAAGGGAAGGGAAGGGCAGGGCAGGGGCCCACGGGCAAACGCACGAGTGGATGAACCCTGGATCTTAGTGGCTTCGGTCCATCGCCAGTTGCCCTCGGCTTTCAGTGTCGTCACCGGCACGTCGCTTTCGTGGAGCCGCAAAAACGTCAACCCCGCCGGCCGGTGCGCGCGCGCGCCCCTCTGTAGCCTCTCGACTGAATGGTACCTGACTTGGCCTTCCTTCCCTTACCTTCCGGCCAACCTCTCTCCCTACCCACGACCCCTTCACTACCTGTGTATACCGCATCTTCACAGTCCCACGCCATGCGGATACCTTCCTACCACTGACGAACGTAGATGCAGTATCGCATGCCTCGGTCGCACACACTGTCACCGCCGCCATTACTGCCGTCATTATCGCCACGACGATCGACGTCATGCCACCTTCTCAAACCAACCCTGCCCCCGAAGACTACGGCTTGCACTTTGACACCGCGCGGCGCATTGCCAATACTGTAGCAGAAGCAACCCGGTCCGACCGTGATACTATTCCCTTGACACCAACCACCGGCACCGGCGCCGGTGCCGGCACGCCATTCAGCCTTGGCCTGCCCGCCAGCACGAGGTCTGCCAACGAAAGTGCTCACCGACTTAGCCTACGGTCCCTGCGACGCATCGCTCGACAATCTGCCACCGAGGCGCCGGGCGCCGCTGCCCCTGTTCGACATCCTCACATGTCGGATCCTCACACGTTTCCGGATCTAGGTGGTCAAGAAGGGCATGGTGATGCCGCCTTCGACGGTCCGAATCTCAGAGACATATCCATGCCTCTGACCCATCCCCCCAACCGATGGCCTGTCGAAAACCTACTGGAGCCTGAGTACACGCGCCATGCCGGCATCAGTCCCGAGACAGCTCTCGAGCTTGTCGACTTCTCCGCCCTCGTCTACCCTGAGGCGGTTGATGACAATCTGACCTGCCCAATCTGCAAGGCACCTTTCGTTACGCCTGTTACTACCACGTGTGACCATACCTTTTGCAACGCCTGTCTCAAGCAAGCTTGCGAGGCCAGCCACACCTGTCCCGTCGATAGAAGAACCTTTCGTGTCAAGCATATCGCTCCTGCCTCCAGGTTGATCCGGAATCTGCTCGATAACCTCATTGTCGAGTGCCCAAATACCGAAAGGGGCTGCGCCGAACAGGTCAAACGGGAGGACGTCCTTGTGCATGTCCACGACAAGTGCGAATATACCATGATGTCCTGTCCGGATCCTGGTTGCGATAAAAGACTCCCTAGGTGGCTGCTCTACCAGAATGAGTCGACATGTCTTCACGAGGAGGTGGCCTGCGAGCACTGCGAAGGCCTCGTCGAGCGCGCCGTTTTACATGAGCACCTATCCAAGGCCTGCACTCGCAATACCAAGGCCTGCATCTTTTGCGACGAGATGGTTCCTATGCCTGCTATGAACAAGCATGTCCTGGACGAGTGCCTAGAGTTTGCGGCGCCCTGCAAGTACACAGATTTTGGCTGCCGACAGACCGCCAAGCGTCAGCAGCTGCGCAACCACCATGAGAGCTGCCCCTATCAAGTCTGCGACGTCATCGGGCAGACCCTCAAGCGGCAGGAAGCCGAGATGAAGCGACTGCAACGTGAGAACGACAGGCGGGACAAACAGATTGAAGAGCTGCAACGTCAGTTCCAGGAGCAGCAGAGCGGCAGCTCCTTAGACATTATGCGCCTGAGCCCCTATAGTCGTAAGATCGGAACCGCCGAAGAGGCTGTCATGGGTGTTTACGAAGACGTCGAGCGCCGCATCGAAACAGTCAAGAAGGACCTGACTGACCTTGAGGGCCGGCAAACAGTGATGGTTCTCAACGAGGTTATGCCCATTAAAAACGAGATCACGGAGATACGCAGCAACCTCGGTATCCTAAAGATGCACGTGGCCTGGCTCATGAATAAAAGCCGCGAAGAAGTAGAGCGCAGTCGACTGGCAAACCGGACCATGGGAGGTGCCTCAGCCGCTGGCTCTGGAGGTTCTTCGAGTACTGGGGGAAGCAATGGTGGCGGGGGAACGGTCAGGATAGTCGGCCGTGGGAGAGGGGGCTCGGACAGCGAGGCAGAGGGTCCGCCAACTCTGAGAAGATTGAGTGATGGGTCTAACGGCGTCCCGCGACTCTGAGGTCGTTGCGGTTCGGGTAGGTGATGCATTGTCAGCGGCGTTTTTGGGAGCTGCATGGGAAATACCCTTTCGTCTGTGGGCCACGATGTCTCTCAGCCTCAGACTTCCTCTTTGAACTGTATTCTAGCCTTTTTTCCTCTTCGCCAATGTATTTTGCTTTCGGGACAGAGATGGCTTTCATTGCGGAGTTGAACCTGTGCCGCCAAGTCCATGAAGACTCCGTCTGACGCGCAAGATGAAAAGATAGGTACCTAGGTAGGTAGGTATGTATCGGACTTTGGCGGACTTTCCTCCCCGCGCCTTCGCCTTCGCCCCCACCTCCAACTGAACAAGGCGAGGACCCACCAGTCAGTGGGAGCTTCAGGACCCCACTTTCTTTACGCTACCACCTGTCGGCCACCACCACTTCGACTTCGTCATCGCGGACCCTGTAACGCCTTCTCCATCTTCAACCTCGCGTGCCTCAACCCTCATCCCGCGGCGATTGTCTTCTCTACGAAAGCATAAGCAGCTGCCATAATGGACCCCTCACAGGATCCCAGCCAGCTCCCGGAAGCCACACCGGATGCTCCAGACCGCAACACCATGGAACAAGTTTGTCTCTCAGCCTCGGGATTACCAAGCTACCAAGCTTGGTTCCATCTGGTTCTGAACCGCCCACCGCGGAAGTTTTAATAGCTGACCATTTTTGTCCCCTCTCAGATCCGCCTGAGGCGGCTTGCCAAATTAGGCACAGCTTCACCGAAACCCTCCGAAGAAAGCGGCCCCTCTACTAAGCCAGAGGGCACGTCCACAACTCTGTCAGCACCGACTCCCGAACAACGCGCATCGCCGGCCGCCCAGGCGAGCGAGAAGCGCAAGATCAACGTTACGCCGACACCAGCAGACAAACCGCAAGTCTCTTCCTCCCCGTCCTCGACCATCCCGGATCGATCGCATAAGCGGGCCGCTGCGAAGATTGATGACCGCCCACAGGCCACGCAGCCGGCAACCAAAAAGCCCAACATGGCGCCCGAGGAGTCTATCGATGATTATACCCACCGCACCGTCAGTTCGTTATTCCGAATTACCTTGAATTCCAGTCAAACGGATGACGGCCACGGCCACCAAACCACATTCCTGCCAGGCGTAGCCTCCGAACTTGCCGAGGTCGGTGCGCCCGCCAAGTTCACCGTGGCAGTCCTCGATACGACGTTGTTGGAGGCAGCTACGGCGCAACCGCACGCGACACCACTTCTTCGGTACTTGCTACCATGCTGGAAGAGAGTCAGTCGAACAATGGCCTTGCTCAAGGATGGCGAGAAGCAGAAGAGAGAGGTTTTGGAGGAGGCGAAGAGACTCTGTATGAGCTACTGTCTCTTTGCGCTGACGATTCCTGATCTGTTCGGGTATGTACGCTCTGGGGGTTGAACTTCTCGACCCGACTCCTTATTGACTGTCTGCCCAGGCGACCCCAGCCCGATGACCTCGTAACATTTCTCCTCAGAAGCCAAGAACACGAGGATTCTATCTCCATCGACTTCACCAAGGACGTTATTTCCCGATTTCCGGAGGACGAGCAGTACCCCGCCGTGTTTGCAGATGCAATGGCTGCTATCAGCGTGAAGCTGTCTGATATGAGCATGGAGTCTGATTACCGGCCCTACTTGAACGTGAGTTACATTGCTTATGGCGGCGTAGCTTTTGCTGACCTACCCAGGCCCTGTCCTTTTATGCAAAATTCCCTCCTCTGCTAAGGGCGGTTTCCGAGCACGAAATGTTTCTGTCAGCCACCACTGGCCCAGAAGTGGAGAGGAAGACCATACTCGGCCCTTTCTTCCGACTGTCGCCGCTTCAGTCCGAGGTCAGCCTGACATACTTCCCGAACCCTCGCTCACTCGATAAGGGGAGGGCAGCGCAGTCACAAGATGCTCTTCGTGCCATTCTGCGGGTATATCAGGATGAGCTTTTCGCGATTGCCAACGCCTTCATTCGTTCTGACTCTGATACGAGAAACCGCATGCTCGACTGGTGCGCCCTCGGAGTCAACACTAATCACAAGCGAAGAGCCATCCAGGTCGATCCTCGGGAGGTCTCTTCAGACGGCTTCATGGTCAACTTGACTGTCATTCTCGACCGCTTCTGTTCGCCCTTCATGGACACAACCTTTTCCAAGGTTGACAGGATCGAGGTTGACTATTTCAGGCGCAACCCTAGGGTAAGTATCAAGGACGAGACCAAGATTAACGCCGACCAAGCCGCCTCAGACGCCTTCTACGCCAACGCAGATTCCAAGAGCTCCAACTTCATATCCGAGGTTTTTTTCCTGGCTCTGGCTGCCCATCACTACGGCAGCGGCGCGACCAACTCGAAGCTGAAATCATTGGACCGAGACATAAAGTTCTACGAAAAGCATATCACGGCCATGGAGGCGGAGCGATACAAACTGGCTAATGTGAGTATACGAAATTTAACGATGAACGATGTCATTGCTAATGATAACGAGAATCCTGCTCGACTTGCCATGTTCGAAGTCAGCCTCAAAAGGCATACAGATGTATTGGAGAAGGCAATCGCGTCCAAGAACGCTATTGAGGGTGTTTTTCTCGACGATAAGATGCAAGAATTATCCTTGCGGTTCATGAAGTATGTCGCGGTTTGGATGCTGCGTCTTGCCAGCCAATCAGCCTACACACCGGAGAAGGACCTAGCACTCCCGTTGCCTTCGCCCCAGCCGGAGGCGTTCGCGTGTCTGCCTGAATATGCTCTACAGGACGTGGTAGACAACTTCAAATTCGTATACCGGTAAGTGGTTTTGAGCTGAGTGAAGCGCCTCCATCGTGTATACTGATCGCCATGCAGATACCTACCTCAGATTATGCCGTCAGCTGTCGGCAGCGAAATGATTGCTCTCTGCATTGCATTCCTTCAATCATCAGAGTTCATCAAGAACCCATATCTCAAGTCCTCCTTAGTCACACTTCTCTTTTCCGGAACCTGGCCGTTCTCTCACTTCAAGAAAGGGGTTCTCGGCGACCAGCTGTATGGCTCAAAATTCGCCAACAAGCATCTTCTCCGGGCCCTGATGAAGTTTTACATTGAGGCCGAGTCCACGGGTGCACACACGCAGTTCTATGACAAGTTCAACATTCGGTACGAGATTTTCCAGGTCATCAAGTGTGTCTGGGGCAACGACGTGTACAGGGAGCAGCTTGCACGCGAGAGCAAGGTCAACCGACAGTTTTTTGTTCAATTCGTCAACTTGCTTCTCAATGATGCCACCTATGTGCTTGACGAAGCCTTGACCAAGTTCCCCAAGATTCATCAGCTGCAAGCTGAGCTAGAACAGAATCCCGGCATGACGCCTGAAGATCGCGAAAAGAAGCTCGAGGAGCTGCAGACTCTGGAAGGTCAGGCCGGATCCTATATGCAGCTGGCCAATGAGACCCTGGCCATGATGAAGCTCTTCACCTCGGCACTCGCCGATGCTTTCACAATGCCAGAGATTGTGCAGCGGTTAGCGAGCATGCTCAACTACAACCTCGAGACGCTGGCGGGCCCCAAGATGGGCCAATTGAAGGTTAATGATCCTTCCAAATATCACTTTCAGCCGCGAGTGCTGCTGTCCGACTTTGTCGATATTTACCTCAACCTTGCCAACTCGCAGGCCTTCATCGACGCCGTCGCCGCCGACGGACGCTCGTACAAGCCTGAAACTTTTGACAAGGCAGGGTTCATTCTGATGAAGCGCCACATGAAGGACGATGTCGAGCTGAAAAAGTTTGATGCCCTCAAGAACAGCTTCAAGGAGTCCAAGGCCATCGCCGACCAGGCGGAACTAGATCTCGGCGAGATCCCTGCAGACTTTGAGGATCCCATCCTCGGTGACCTGATGAAGGACCCCGTCATCCTGCCTTCACAGCATGTCGTCGATCGCTCGACCATTATGCAGCACCTTCTGTCTGACCCCAAGGACCCCTTTACACGTCAGCCGATGACGATCGAGGACGTGGTGCCTGACCAGGCTCTGCGGGACAGGATCGAAGCCTGGAAGGCGGAGAAGATTGAGGCTGCTAAGGCCAAGGTTTTGGGCGACTCTATGGATACAACGGACGGATGAGAGGTCGGCTGGGCAGGTACCCACGCAGGCAGGAATCACGATGTGCATATTTCATGGGTTGGCACATGGAGAACAAGAGAAGTCACTAGAACATTGTATGCATCATGAAATGAACAGAGCCACCGAGCTCGGAACTAGTAAACGCGAAAGGCCGTCGCATCGTAAGTGAAATATAAACTTGACTGCTCCGTAAACCACTAGGCAACTGTCCTACACACTGCATAGCACATGCTAGGGGCCAAGGGATGTGGCCAGCCAGAGAGAAGCGAGACCCTTGTCTCCACCCCCCAACTCGTGACGAGTGATGAAGGGATGTCGGTGTGACCAGGTTCGCGGAACCGGCTCCCACCCGCGCTTCTGGCTCCACTTCTGGCGACCCTAGTTAGCCGGCCAGTCGGAAACGGAGACGGCGCGGCACGAAATCGACTTGACGCAACATTCGTGACCAGTGGCTACCTACTTAGGTTTACCACCTGGACCAAGTATCATTGACAATATGCAGGGAAACCAGGGGGGGGGGGATGGATGTGTGAAAAAGCAGTGCACGAAGACTCCAGCCAGCCTTAAAATTGACTTTCCGCAATGTGATGGGACGCTGCCATGGGACTAGATTCTGTCTTTTGAACATCGGTCGGTTTCGACATTGTGCAACGTGCTCGACCTGCCAACGAAGAGGGGAATGCCAGGGCAGTGAATATTTGTCTCGACACATGGTAGTGCGCGCACCCACCCACCTACGCACACGCACACACATACATGCACACTCGAGATCTCGGAGGAGAAACATGTAATGAAGCTGAAATTGGAGCAGCCGGAGCTACTGGATGGCACGCCATCACTAACCAGCTAGCGCATTGGTCGTAAAACAATCCCTACTCCATTCGCCAAACATGATCGAGACATAAACGCAGACAACCCAGCACACGATATCTCGCGATCGCCAGGCTGTATTTCAGACATGGTTGTAATGTCTCGGACGAGGTTCCGGTCGACTGATTCAACCAATCAAGTCCAACCAAGTCCCCAGATAGACAGACCTCAGACCCCTCCGGCCGGCCTACGCCCCCTTTTCTTCCTTACTCGCTCGCTGTGGCTGCGCCACGTCAGGAAACATTAAGAGAACGATAAGAGCGAATGTGGTGTATGGGCCGCATTCCGCCGAGCCCATATGCAGAGGAAAGGATGCCGCCATGATCCTGATATAAAAAAAAAAAAAAAGAAGGGGAATGGGTGGTTCCTTGTATTTGGAGCGCACGTCTCACCCGTGTCTGCCAGGTCCCAGTTATGCTCAACCCGGGTAGTTACTCATACAATGTTCTGACTCTCTCGTCATGCTGCCTATGCAAGGTAATCTACCTCGCGATCACAGGCCGGATTTCGTCGTGAATCGTGAAAGAAAGACACTCTTGAAAGACAGGAGCAAAAAAGCAAAGTGTTTCTTTCTCAAGAAAAGCTCAGAGGCCCCCGATGTCTGGACATGTGAGGTAAGCTTAGATAATGTTGGCGATACTCAGCCGATCTTGAGACCGGGCCGCGCTGCTTGCTGACGGGCTATTTCCGCTGCTGCTTATCACCCCCGCGCTCAACAAAGGGGCGCTGCCAGGTGTGGGCGGCGGTGGGAAGCTACCCCCACCCTCAATCTTGATGGCTGGTGGCAGCGGTGCTGCCCAAGTTGCAGAGGTCGGTGTCGGCGTTGAGTTCCCAGAGGCCAAGCCCCTGACTGCGGCGTCCAAGCGACTCCATCCACCCCACTCACTGATCTCTTGATCTGTGAGACCAGTTCTCTGCTGAGCACTAAAGAGCCCGCTTCCAGCGCCTGCCCCTGACATGATGGTGCCTGGTGATGTGGGGGAGAGAAAGCCCTCACGCTCTCCGCCCGCCCAGACCCAAGCACAGTTGGGAGCAGCCTGGAGGTCAGCGCTCACATATGCGAGCAGCTCCTCATCCCGCAGTAGTGCATCTTGCAGTGCCCGAGGACCACTCATAGGCGGAGGTGGAGGGGGTGCAAATGTCGATCTGGGAGGCGTTGCCCTTGCGAGGAGAGCGGCGTGTTCAGCACGCTTCGCTCCCAACGTTGTCACGAAGAATGCGAGGAATCTTCCACAAGGCAAAGCCACATCTCTCCGCGCGTCGATGGAGGCCAGTGATCGAACGCATACGACGGCTTGGTCCCAGTGACCAGAAAATACAAGAAACAGTGCGCAGCGGAAGATATGGGACGTGAGCAATGCCGTAGCTCCGTCAGCAAGGGTCGTCGTTGTCCGCATCAGAAGTGCCGCCGTTTCAAGCGCCGTGTGAGTACATTGCTCAATAGCGGCAAAGCGCACCTCCGGGGGGCATGTCGGGGCTAGATTATGTCGGTGCAGTACGAGTCGCGCGTGCAAGACGTAGGCATACGGCGCGAGAAGATGCGGGGACAGCGATGCCCCGCTGGAGGCGTCACAAGCCGGGGGAAAGCTGCGGCAGTAGTTGACAAATGTCTGGTCGAAAGTAGCGAGCCGGGACGGCGCAACCATGGGGGCCGCAAGGGTCTTGATGAGGGCCGAATACGACCTAACCACGTTGATTATGGCCAAAAGCGAGTGGTTCAGAGGCTCCCTTCCAGGGGGGACAACGATACCCCCCTCGTGAATGTAGTGGTCGTCCACGCCAGCCGGTAGCGATACGTCGCAGTCGCTGTCGTCAATCATGATGGGTCGGCCAAGCTCTAGAGCAAGACTTCGATCCAAGATATACGTCGTCCACCAGACCCTCCTCCTCATCTCCCCCTCTATGACGGGCCAAGGCCCGGACTCAGAATGGAGCTCGAGGTCCTGGCCTATGCGTACGGCACTTCCCAGCCAGGTCCAGGCTGCCGACTTGAGGTTCATCTCGTTGAGACAAACAGATATAAGTAAAAAGGCACGTGCATTCTCCAACGCGTAGTCGTTGTTCCAGGGATCAATCATGTTGCGCGCCACTTCGAGCAGCTCCGCAGCCCGATATGCTCGATGTGTGTGCGGGTCAGGGGCAAACAAGCTGCCCAAGGCGAGCGCGGCGAAGAAGGTCGAAAGCCAGGCAGGTTGGAAGGACTTCTGGCTGCCGAGACGATACAAGTCGTCAACACCACTGGAAAATGTTGGCCAGTGTAGAATGGGGAACATTGTATGCGCAGAGCCGTAAAAGGAATGCAGAAGTTGATCGGTGGTTTGCCGCGGTGGGAGCTCTGGCCGTTGCGGGTCGAAGAGAGGACTGGGCGCCGACTGTCGATACTGCACAGGGGACTTCCAGATGCCTCTTGAGAAAGCCTGCAGGTTCGACCGGACAGTAGAAAGGTCGTGCATTGGAGTCGGGCGTTTTCTGCGCTTCGGATTCGCGCCCATCTCGGGCAGCTGAGGAGGTAGATGCTCCATGCCCTCGGCGTCCACATCCATCTGTCCCTCTCGTTCCTGAAGCATGCGTCTGAGGTTACCGTTATCCCTCCGTAACCTCTCCATCTGCTTCTCGAGGTCCTGCACCTGCTTGATGGACGACATGCGCCGATTTGTCTCCTTGGTGAACTGGCATTTGACGCTGCGACTGGAACACTCCGAGCAGCTGCTCGTTTCCGTAGCGTCGCATTTGACCTTCCTTTCCCGACAGGCATCGCAGCTGGGGTCCTTTCGGCGTTGGCGGTAGGCCCGCTTCTGCGCTTGGGACATGGGCGGCAGGGAGGCATTGGACGGCCCCGGTGTGCTGGCTACGGAATCGGCCGATGGTAGAGAGTCCCGTCCTAGCATCGAACCGGCCGTCATGGGAGTGTACGACTGAAAAGTATTCTGGTTAATGGAAGGCAGGGGAGGGATGCCAATAGGCTGAGGCGGCGGTGCCGCCGTCGTTCTAGGGCCAGCGTTCATTGCTCCTCCTCCGAAGTACTGGCTCGTCGGTCTCGGCGACGGGGCGGAAGATACCGACGAGGAGTCGTACGACCGGTGTGACAAGTTTGGAGATCGAGAGTACGGGTTGTGTGACGATGCAGATGCAGCCATGTCGGATGGCCGAGTAGAAGACCAATGCCCTGTCGCGAGCCTCGGGACGGCCCCCAAAATGTCCCCTGGATGTTGAAAAGTAGGGAGTTGTCTGTCGAGAAACATGCAGACTGACGGTGGAGGCTAAAATGAGAGTGTCGCTGGTGGCCGTGTAGGCACACTTGTATAGCCGGTATAGCGTCGTCGTGCTGCTGGGCGAATCCCAACGCCTGCGTGGCACGCTTCCGACAGCTGTAGGGGCAATGCTTGCTGCGACGAGGTGCAAAGTGAGAAATCCGAAGTGCAAGTGGGGGGTCTGAACGTGTACTCTCGTTGAAGGCGTACCCCCGAAATGCAGCGGATAGTGATTTGTTTGACTGTATCCCGTTCAGGGCCGGAATTTGAGCTTTGCTGGTGCTACCGCCTGTCTAGTCGTCCGACCTTGGCACTGTGATCAAACTGACCATCGATACCCAACAATCTAGACGGACCGGAACGCAGCACAGCCGTTGTCTGCCGGTTCACAGCAGTCACAAGACGGGCTATATGCCATGCGATAATATGAACAGGTGAGGGGCGGGGCTGCCTCAACGGGTTTGAAGGTTCGTGGTGGCCAACTGGTTCTCTCTTTGGTCCTGGTATGCGCGCGGGGCCTAAAAGCACAGAGACACGCTACCACCGGCAATCATGCAAATGATGGGATGAAGGACTGGTGACAAACTGTAGTCTCTGACACAAGCGGGCGTTGTCCTGCGAGGTCGAAACTGTGGGCTGTAGGGGTAGAAGGCGCGAAGTTATACAGCAAAATGTTGTCCAAGATCGGGCCAGGCGGAGAAAGGGAAACTGGCAGAGGAAGTTGTTGAGAGGCTAGATCAGGTGGCCAGAGGAGGGTATAATACTGAGCGTGGCTGGCGTCGAAATCGTGGTCGTTGAGCAAGTGCCAGGCGAAGTCAGTTAGCCGCGTAAGAGAAGACGGGAAGTGGGAGAGTGTCAGAATCGCAGAGACGCTGGCGC